GCGCACGTGCGGGGCGCGGGGCGCGGGCGGTCCGCGGGCGGGCGAGGATGCTGCTGTCCCTGGTGCTCCACACCTACTCCATGCGCTCCCTGCTGCCCGGCGTCGTGCTGCTGGGCTCGGCGCCCACCTACGTGCTGCTGTGGGGCGCGTGGCGCCTGCTGTCCGCGCTGCTGCCCGCGCGCCTGTACCAGCGCGTGGACGACCACATGTACTGCGTGTACCAGAGCATGGTGGTCTTCTTCTTCGAGCACTACACCGGCGCGCAGGTGAGCCGCGCGCGACCCGCGGGTCGCGGTACAGGGCGCGGGGCCTTGGCGGCCGGAGCCGCCCGCGCGCCGCCGCCCCCTGCCTGCCCCTGCGCGGAGCTGGACGTGCGGCGGAAGCGCAGAACAAAAGTGCAAGGCCTCAGTGTTGCCCGGTTGCTCGAGGTCGCCGAGAGACGGGCGGGCCAGCTGTGAATGTGCGCGTGATGCCCGGCGGAAGGAGCGGGGCCTGCCTGTGCCGACGCGCCTTCAGCCCGGTTCCCTCCTTCCCGCCCCGGCGCGGGGTCGGGTGCGTGGCGCGAGGGCACGCGCTGCCGGTGTGCTCGGGTTTGATTCTCTTTTTCCTTTCAGAGTAGCAGTTGTTGCCTGTGGTCGTCTGTCTGGCCACTAATACTGAGATAGCAAGTGAGGTCACCGAAACTTTCTTTTTCTTCATTCCTGAAGAAAGTTTTAGGAATTTAGAGGACGTAAGTTCTTTGCGGGTCTCATGAGTCCTGAAACCCCCCTGGGTACCCCCTCACCATCCATAGCCTACTTCACCCTCTTGGCGATCAAACCCAGACCTACTGCTGAGCTACTTTCTCAGCCCTTGTAACATTTTTCTTTTCTTTGAAGTCTTGCTGAATCAGTATGTTGCCCGGGCTGAGTGGGCTGGAATTTGCAGTCCTCCTGCCTCAGCCTTCCCGAGTGCCTGCGTTGCGGGCCTGTGCCGCCACAGTAGGCCCATCCTCGGAGTAGGCCCGTCCTAGGCTTGCCTCTTCCTCTTTTTCAACTTTTTATGCGCCCCACGGAGAGTCAGCCTGAGTCTCTTCCATGGTAAAAGGCACACTGATTCAAGTAACTACTATGTCTTGTGGCCACTGTGAGGCAGTTGTGTAAGCACCTGTGTTGTAGTTGCGGAGATCAGAAGGGGGAAACTGAGAGGTGGCTGGCTTCATGTCTGAGCAGAAGGAGGTTCTGGGATGGAATCAGCGCCCCATGCCGGGGGCTGGGGCTGCTGCCTGGCCCAGCCACAGTCAGTGCCCCAGCCTCTTCTGGTCTGTGACCCCTGCTGGGTTCCCTCCTCCGAGGAGGCTTGGGACCTTCCTGAAAAGCTGGAGGGTCTGCTCATCTCAGATCTCTACTTATAGGTTCCAGAACCTGTTTTCCAAATAAAGACACTCACATGTCCCAAGGCTTAGGACACCGACCTGCTGTTCCCTTTCAGCCGCTACAGTGATCCCACAGCTCTATTTGGTACTATGCAGTAGTCTCTGTCTACTTCCTTGGGTTGACCGCCCTATTTCTGTAGGTCATTACATGTGAAGACATTTTGGTTTTTGGTTTCTGTTGCCTGCTACAATAAAAAGCATGGTTTCCTGTACTAAGGCTATTTGAAAAATACTTTTCCATAATATTTTAATTTTTCATTTATAAGCCTTGATTTTTTCCTTAAGGGGCATTTGATTGTCATATTTTCAGAGCCTTTCTTCTTTATAATAACATACATGTTAATTGTGTCTTGGTTTTCCTTTGTCAGTTTATCCTGAAATTGCCATCCCCTGGTAGCAGAAAACAAATACATCCTGTGTTCAGGCTCTACTACATAGAAAGCGATGGAGTCTGGCCTCTGCTGCACTCATCACTTAGAAACTTGTGGATTGGGAAGGAGCTTGAGTGTGGAGTGAGCCCTTGGGCGGGGAGCTGAGCCAGAGGAGGGGTGCTGGCTGGGCCGCCTTGCCTCCCTGCCACCATCTACGTTGGTTGCTAGATTCGCCTTAGCTTCCTGTCTTAGCCTTCTGGATGTCTCCTAGTTCTTGAGACGGCTACCCTAGATATGATGAACGTTCACGCTGGCGGTCATGCTGAATAATGAACAAGCTTTTTAGCATGTTGTATGAAACTGCCAAAAGTTCACGTAGCTTTTTTCAGATATGAGAATTCTTTGTATCTTGAAAAAAGTTGTTTATTGTTTGCAGACACGTGCCTGTTCATCAGCACCTAATGAGTATTTCAATCACTGTGTAGTTACCACTTACATCGGTTGGTAGCATTTGGAATTTACTTTTTAAATTAATTTTTATTTTATATAATTTTTTCATTTATATATGTGTGTGTGTGTGTGTGTGTGTGTGTGTGGCCAGCTCAGCCCACCAGGGGGCGGGGCTGGCTGGCATGTGGTGCTGGGGGATTGAACCGCAGTCCCTGTGCTTTGCTAAGCTTGTTCTAAGTAGGTGCTTTAGACCACTGAGCTGTCTCCCCAGCCCCATGGAATTTACTTTTAAAATATTTTACTTAATGTCCTTGAGTGCTAATCCCCTCTCCCAAATACTGACATCATAGCAATAAGAGGTAAAATTCTTTATTTTTTTTGTGGAACTGGGGATTGAACTCAGGCCCTTGCGCTTGCCAGGGAAGCGCTTATTCCCCTGAGCCATCTCCCCAGCCCCTAAAATTCTTAGTTTATGTTAAAAAAAACTTAGCTCTTCGACTGACCTGCTTTAAGGGTAGTAACACTGGGAGCAGGCTGCAGAGTTGAAGTCTTATTAGAGTCTGATGTTTGTGTAAAGTGCTCAGCCAGAATACTAGATTTCTCTAGTGCTAAGTTCTCTGGCTGCAGCGTTGTCTCAAGTGTCGTAGATACACAAGGTTCCTCTCTAGAAACCATTTGAGACTGATTCTTTCTGAAGTGCTATCTAATCGAAATAGTCCTAAACTCTCAGTGAGTGAAGTTTGCATTCTGTTTCTTGCTGCCTGTGCAGCTGAGCTCTTGGAATTCCACGTGTTGATTTAGAATCCAGGAGGCCCTGATGCAGTCTTGGCCAGCCGTTGTCACATGCTGGGTTCTCTCCACACACTGCTCAGGTGGACAGTCTTCTTCAGTATCAGAAGTCTTAAGCAGAACATGAATGTTCGTATCCTCACATTTGTTTTGCCTGCTTGTTTGTTGTCTGTGTGAAGACATTAAAAAGACACCTTGCGTTTAGTTGTGGGAGTGACAGGACTGGCAGGCTTATTTATTTATGTTTTTGTATTTTAGGGACAGGTCTGCAGAGTATTCAGGGTCTCACTGCTAGATGGGACTCAGTGATCCGCCTGTTTACAGCCTTCCAAGAGCTGGGATTACGGGGGGTGGGGGTACAGGGCAGGGCAGGGCTGAGGATCAAATCACCTGCTCCTGCCCCTGCATACAGGCACTTTAATCTGCTGAGCTGTTTGGCCGACCCAATGAGATAATTGCTTTTTTTTTTTTTTGTATGGGGGATTGAACACAGGACCTTGTGTTTGCCAGGCAGGCACTTACTGTATCTCCCCGGCTGGAAGGCTTAGATGTGCCTTTGCTGTGAGAGCAGGATGATAAAATCTTTGATAGAGAAGTTGAACATTTCCCAGTCAAACCCAGTTACCGTTTGACGCGGTTGAGGTTGGCTAGGGAACTGGTTAACTTATTAGACTTACAGTAAAATCTGAGCACTGTGGGAAGACTCCGTCATTAAATTAAGTTCTTGGGTGGGTTTTGCAGTACCACAGCGCGTCCCCAGCTGCATGCAGGGGTACTTCTGTCATTAGGAGAGACTGTGACTGTGTGGACAGTTTTCCTTCTTTTATAAGTTTTGAGAAGTTGAACCAACTGAGTTGGTGTTTCCTAAAGGGCATTACAAATGAGCTTGCCTTCAGTATTTTGTCATGTTATTAAACCTCTTAAACAGAGGTTGATGTTAATACCTAGACAGTCCATTACTAAATCATCATTTTTCAGTGAGGAACCTCTACGACCTGGCAGTCAGTCATCCATCTGCCTATCCATCTATCCATCTGTCCGTCCGTCCGTCCGTCCATCCATCCGTCCATCCATCATTTGCTGATGAACATTGGCCAAGTGCTGTGCTGGTTACTGGGGTACAAAGAGAGCAGCAGCCAAGACATTTGCTGCATGGGACTCATGTCTTAGTGAGGAGGATTCATAGTAAGAATGCAAATGCTCTATGCTGTGAGGGTCAGTCCAGTGGATGCAGGAAGCGATTTGGAAAAGTGAGTGACGTTTGGGTATGTGGCTTCTTTTTGTTTGCTTGTTTGTTTTTTTTGTTTTTTGCAGAACTGGTGATTGAACTCAGGCCCTTGTGCTTGCCAGGGAAGTGCTTATTCCACTGAGCCATCTCCCTGGCCCCATGTATGTGGCTTTAAAGAGGGTCACTTAGGCAGATGGCTGTGGAATGCCAGCAGAGAGACAGTGGCCAGGCGTGGGAAGAGCAGGCACAGCAGGATGGTGAAGAATTCTAGGCCCAGTTTAGAAAGAATGCAGAGCACTTGGCAGTGAGATATTGCTGTAAAAGGAAAGGGTGGGTTGTAGTAGCTTGGATGTAGTGAGCACTACTGTGTACAAGTGGTGTTCTGCTATGTAGCCTGTTTTGTCCTCATTTACAGGTGGAGAAACTGAGGCACAGGTAATTCATTTGTAGGAACGAACAAGGATTTATTCCACAGCAGTCTGCAAGAGTTAATCAAAAAACATACAATGTTCAAAATTTTAACAACTTCTTATAGTGAGAGAACACATTACCAAGAATGTAAGTGCAGTCAAAGCGGGGAGAGTATTCTGAGCAGGATTCATGGCAGTGCAGCATTTATTGTAATTCCTTTTTTTTTTTTTTTTTAAATTTAAACAGTCCTAAAGGGCTGACCAAACAGCTCAGCAGATTAAAGTGCCTGCAAGCAAGCATAGGGGCCGGAGGTTCAATCCCTGGGCCTGATGCTATGGTGGCACCCGCCTATGATCCCAGCTCTTGGGAGGCTGTAAACAGGCAGATCACTAAGAGTCCGATCCAGTCGTGAGACCCTGAACACCCTGCAGACCCTTCCCTAAGATACAAAAAAAAAAAAAAAAAAAAAATTAAACAGTTCTAGTATTTCTTGGCCACCCTTGATCAAATGTTTTCAGCCCTTCCTGATAAATGAAAGCATTATAGTGTCCTCATCTCCCTTATTCACCAGCTCTGGCACTGTGCAGATTCTAGCTCTTCCCC